CCACTTTCTGACATTCCTGTTGATGAACCAGGCAAACAATCTTTCATTAAATCCTCGTTCCATCTTTTTCCTGGGAAAATGTAGTATGGTGGTACATAGTTTCCTATGGCACTAGCACACCCAATCACGGTTACATTTTTTGTTCGTGATGATGTCACACTTTGGGCTTTAGAATCTTTTCCACAAACTATTTTTGGTGGGGAATGCTCTGTAGAAAAGCCTGATTCATCTACATTGAAAATTCTTTCAGGGGAATGAAGCAAATGGTTTTCTTTTAATACAGATTTTAGTTCATAAAAATATTTGGATATAGTTTCTCTGTATGAACATTTTGCCCTTGACATCACTATTATTTTTTGGGGAGAAACAACCTTCAGTTGGTCACATCTTCCTAAGAATGCGTAAAACCAACCCTGACTAAGTCCCTCTTTAGCTTGGACTTTCTTGCCAATAGACCTGGCATAGTGGGCTGCCATGTATTGAATGTCACTTATAGTGTATCCATAACCAATACTAGCCATGTAAACAATATGGTCAGCAAGCTGCTTTTCTTCTTCAATAGAGAAAAGTCTTTCAGGGCCTGGTTTGCAATCAAGTTCTACAATATGCCTTGTTCTGTCTCGCAATGTTGATTCAGGAACACTGTAGACTCTAAATGCCCTGTAGACAGACATTCCAGATAAGGTTGCATTGAAGGCTCTTTTCAAGTTTTCCCTATCATAGGGTTTCCTTTCCTTACTTTGCTTTGTTTTCTAGATAGAAATAAGAAAACAACTGAAATATTAATTTATAGAGGGAGTCAAATAATCAATTTTTAGTTGGATGAAAAAATGTAGTAATGTTGAACCTATAAAAATGTATAGCAGTGTTCAATCTATCAAAAATTATAGCAGTGTTCAGCCTTCAAATGGGCGGAGCCAATGGCAGCTATTTACATGGCTAAAAGAGAGAATACTGGCAGACGATTTGTAACAACTGAAGAATTTAGTTGAACAAAATAGATTTTTTTTTTGAAATTTTTATTTAAATTTAATTTAAAGTAAACATATTTTGTTAGGTAATTAAGCATTTACTTACCAAGATTTTACTCATTGTTGGTCATAAAATCAATTATTTATTGCAATGAAAAATGTAGGTCACCCACATTGACAGGTAAACATCGCGTAGGTGGCGCTTTACAAATACGGCGAGAATAGTGACACCGCGGAAATAGTGATGTCGAGTAAACTGTGTGATTTGAAAAATATCGTTCATTATTTAAAAATCAAACATTCGTGTGGTTCATCTTACCCAGATATAACAATGATTCAATGTTTTTTGTTAGATTATACGCATAAGCCTCGACGTTATATAGAATTTTGACCTATAATGATATATAGCGTTTAACCGCAAAATGATGCTGACGTCACTTTAGTTTATGTCTTTTTACATTTAAAGATATCAGTAACTACATGAACTACAATACATTCATTGAATTTAAACGTGCCTTCAATTTTCTGCGAAGTTTCTCATGTCAACATCACAGTTTTATACAAATGTCACCAAGGTTTCTAGTCACTATCATGTGACTATGTTGTAAATAATTTAAAAGTTATATACAACTTGTACGTTAAATAGAGGAAACGAAATCCCTAAAGAACGCAAAGCACGTCAAAATTGAAAATATGGCAGGCTCGGTTACATTGAGTCTGTTAATGGACGGTAGTGGAAATTGCAAGCTATCGACCACGCCCCCTAGCACCGGCTTAAGCAGATTCAACATTTAAAAAACAAGAGTGGTGAAGGTGAATATTTATTCCGAAACATCCGCAGATGTGTTCATACGGCGGTTATTTCGGTGTACATTCTTTTACATTTTATTTATATTTCACACAGCAGAAAACAGATGCTACGTCTGTAATATGATGTTTCAGAAAGACCAATTCAATAATAGTTGTCGTATATTTTTATCTAAATTTAAATGATAAACCAAGCCTGTTTTGTTGGCTAATTCCGAATATATCTGTATAAATAAAACTGGTGAAATAATAAAAGAAAAACATATGATATGTCTATAATATTGTAACGTACATATATGAAGTATTTAATTTTTTTCTACAGAGAATCTTAAAGGCACATTATGACTTAGAAACGATTTATTTATTCTTTGGAAAGGGATAATATTAATATAATTACCTTTAAAAATGGTTTTAGAGCCCGTTATATACAAAATGCCTGGAGAAAAATGCGTTCAATGCAAAATTATTATGTCTTAAAAGTAGCAAAATGTAAACAAAATAGTATTTTGACTATCATACAAAATTATTAACTGTAATGATTACCAGAAAGCAACAAAAGCAAACAGTGCTTCAGGTAATTGGCTAATGAGTAAATAATAGGACATCAAACATAAAAAGGTTTTGAATAATAAAAATAATAGCTTTTCTGAGTCATAATGGGCCTTTAAGCAACAAAATTGATTCATTTTAACAAATTTATGAAATTATTGCACTTCTAGACTGATGTAATTTTAGCTGTAGAAGGCCCTTCAAATGTGTCGCCTTATCAGTTTTTGTTCAAGACCACTATTAAATGCATATTATGCCTCAGAAGCAAATAAATATTGACTTGTTCAGAACGGGCAAACATGAAAATTTGTTAATGTTTAAATAATGGTTTTTTAAAATTTTTTAGAGGGGTCATCTGCAAAAAGGGATGCAATTTTGAAAAATCTTCAAAAATTGCAAAAGTAAACAAAATTTTATCTATTTACTATTTTAAATTTTTTTTATTTCAAAAAACAACAAGAAAAAGAGTTCAAAAAAATTTGGCCAATTTGGAGACTAAAAAATAACCAAATTTTTAAAACCTTTTTAAAAAGAATTAAAGCATAACGAGGCATAAAGAGCCTTAAACAATTAAAATTAATAATATAGATCACTTTCCATCATTCGTTTGTCTGTCCGTACATACTTCAGTTTTTAATCAGTGAAGTTTTTGTTGTTGTTGTTGTTGTTGATGTTGCTTTTATCTTATTTAATATTATTTTTGTTAGTGCACTTCTCCTGCAATATTATTATCTATGATTGATTTTGTTTATGACTTATCTGCAAGGAAATTCACTGTTGACAGATGATTCATAAAGTGTAAATTAGATTAATAGTTTTACCTTGCATGCAATAAATATATAGTTAGTATGAATAGCACCTATCCAAAGGAAATAAAATATACTAATGAAATGCACAAAGCAATCCAGTCAATATATTTTTGATAGCATTTATTCAACGTCAATATAATTTATTGAAGTTACGAGTGCTTAGCAGGCAACAATTTATCAAAATGATGCAGATACAAATTTTACTGCATACATTTGTTATTTTAAAGTAAAAATATTGTTACATTTATTTTTATTTTTTTTTTATTATTTTTTTTTTAATTATTATTTTTTGTTTTTTTTTGTTTGTTTTGCTTTTTGATATAGTTTTGGATTTCCTTTCAGATACCATAACGTGATAAAACGAATTCGAGAAGTTGGCACTTTTTGGCTTCTGTAACTTCTATATTTTATCTATAATCATGAACATGATATGATGCAGCATGTGATCGAGGCGAAAGACGATTTTTTAAAACGGCTAGCGTTTATTCTATTCCTTTTTCAAAATTACTTTTTAAACGGAAATTATTTAAAGGAATAGAGTCAAATGTTGTGCATACAACAGACATGCATATTGGGTCACGCAATACGTAACTTTATGAAATTACGTAGTCTATCGCGTGGGTTTACGTCACACACCACTAACTCGTATTTTTAATAGGTGTAAGGCTCCTATTAAGTGCGTTTTATCATGTGAGACTACACTTTGAGGCAGGAGACTCCATATTACAATGCTTAAAACAATAACAGTATACCTTTAGAAGGATAAAGTAAAAGTTTTTAGTTTTAAGAAGTAAAGTTTTTATACAAATATATAATAATTATTTTCTTCTTCGTCTAGTTTATTGTGTTCTTTTATTTAGTTAGACATAATTTGGAGACAGAGTGATATACAAAGATATTTCAATACTCTCTTCACATGAAATCTTCATTTGCCTTATCATCTGTGTTGTGAGTAGACCAATATTTATAAAATAAATTATATGGTTTAAACTTGCTTTCAAACAAATTGGCGACTTTAGATACTTTAATTATTTTCAGCATGCCAATGACTGTATGTTGGCTAGAAAGAAATATACAAATTATCTCTCCTACAAGACATGCCAGTTGTAAGTTTGTCAATGAATTCATTAAGCATTGGAAAGATACATAAGATAACGAAGTTATGCACGTTGTCCATTGAAAGACACACAGTCAGAGCGCTTCAACAATGCATGTGAAATCATTCTCCTCCTGATTTATGGACAAAATGACGGTAAGGCGCTATACAACTTTAACGCTTAGTAATATTTGCTTTAAATGACTTGTGCCGTAATCGTGCGCATAAAGATAACGATCTAAACTTCAGACCAGACTCATAACAATATTAGAAGACAATGTGAATAATGTTTATAAAGGATATGTTACTTAGTAAACCATGTAAACACATTTTTTTCAAACTCTCTAAATACACTTCTTATCCCGTTCAACACTAAATTGTCGCGATCCTAACAAACCATCCCAGGAATCTCCTGTATTCCATAATACATTCTAAACCGTCAAGCTATGTCAGGAGACAGTCTAAAACCCGGTATCTCTGAATGACATACAGACATCCATGCAAGACAAAGGTTTCATAAATACAGGTATTTAAAGTTCGGTCTCCAAAGCATCTAACAAATGCTCTGAACTCGTTCCTAAAATCAAGGGTCTGAAGTTTCCAACAATCACAAGCACGAAATAAAATAAGCAACATCCATAATTCTCACCTTTTGCGACCTGTGACTCCATCACAGTAAAACAATGAGAACACACACATATAGTCGAATGTAATACTTGCTAACATGAAATTAAATTATAAAATTCCATTAACAAAACATAAACTTATAATACTATTTTAACATAAGATATGTTAGATGATAAAACAGTTATTCCGTGTTGCTCCCTTCATATTTGTAATAATACAAACACAGCATGCAATTTTATTCCTTCAACTTCATTCCGAACAAATCAGCTGAGAACGATTATGACATATATGTTACATAACACTTAATATTAGCTATGTTAATCGCACATTACATTTTTATTTATATGTTACAAAACATTTTTCTCTCAATAAGAGACACAAAAACAGATTTTCCAGACTTTTCAAACCTCAGACATTTAAATAGGTAGCCTTTAAAATGTTCAGAAAAGCATAAAATATATTTCGAGTAAGTTTAAAAAATATAGAAAAACGCAATTGTGTTCATTGCCCGTGTGACGGCTAATGCAATCGTGATAGTTCTGGCATATTTTGTATTATATTTGGATATATTTTAGTTCATAACTATAGCACAATTATGTTTTCCTTTCCACTCTTAGAGTATAATCTTCTACTTGTAAAACTGCCCCACTGGAATAGCGATTTGGGTCACCAGAAAGGAGTTCCGTGTCTTTTGGTGGAAGAATATCAAAATGTTGTACCATTGTTACAATGTAAGTAAATAGTCTAGACATTGCAAAATCACTCCCAACGCAATACCTCTTTCCAATTCCAAGGGGGATAAGGCTGAAAATAAAATTTGTATCAAACTGTTTTAAAATCGTTTATATTTAAGACAAATAACATTTTTATTATTGTCAATATCCATATATATAAAGGGAGGTAATGTATAATATAAACAAGCATAAACGTGTATTTTGTAATACTTAACAAAGGAGAACGTGTAAGAAAGTTATAACGTCTATAATAAATACTAGTATACTTGTTTGGTTGCCGTCAGTGTCCTTTTAATTGTTTTTCTCTCTCTCTCATTTTAATCTCGCAGTGAACAGTAGTGTACTTTCGTAATAATACAATCTTTGCGCAAAGCAAAAACCTTTAGGAAACCGGGAAACCAATATTTTATTTGCTGTTGACAAGTTTTGCTCTAGGGAGACAAAATTAAGAGTCTTTTTAAGATTATTTAGAAAGAAAGTTAGAGAGAAAGTCGATGGCATTGTTATAAACAGGTAATTGCTTTAAAATAGTGTTTTTCTGCCAGAGGGTATACTGTATATATACTTTGTTTATAGTACAACCAAAAATATTAAAAACAAGATCAACAAAGAAGGGCGGCGTTCAATGAACGAAACCCCCAAACTAGACCCAGCAACACAGGACCACCGGCAAGGAGTACAGCAAGACCCAAATAAAAACAGGACAGGGCACAAGGCTTCTTAACAAACTGTGCCGACACGTATTAAACAGGCAATCAATCCTTTAGTATACCTTTTACGAGCAGGGTTATCTTCTGGCAAAAGATTTCCCATATTGTCGAGGAACCTCTCCGGGTCAAATGTCCACGGATTTTTATAAACAGTTTCGTCATGATGACCTGACCAAATATTACCCCAGACCATTGTGTCACTTGGTATCGTAAACCCTTCGAATTCGACATCTTTCTGTGAACTGAAGTCAGTTAAATGTTTATCAGGGTAACAAAACAAACAAAACAGACGTCATAGAAATCAACAGAAACTTGTTTTACATCATGTTTTTATGGCATTTTCTGACTGAAGCACTTAATTAATATACCACAAATATGCTTTACGATGAAAATCAAAATCATATTAATTTTACGAATTACACAAAACGTCTTATTTTGTTAACATTAAAACATTATCATGTATTTATTACTTTATAACAGATATGTACATTGCAATTCAAATAAGGGTATAGATAAATATAAGCAAAAAATGGCTTAAGTCAAAAATTTCAGTTCGTAACATAAACATGCATATGAGTCATAAAAAATCACGCATTCAAACTGGCGACCATAAGCTTAAAACAAAACAATAAAACAAGCTTAAAACCATGATTCAACGATTTTTTTTCTTGAGTTAGTTCTCAGAGGTTGCAGTTTAGAAGAAAGATTTGCAGTCAACCGAAGCAATATAAATCCCTGGTTCTCATCTTGTAATTTCACTTATGAAATGACTAGTTTCTAATAATCTGGACTATATTTGTTGCCAACTGCTGTGACAAACTTACACCTGAACATTTTTTAAATTTATCATTATCATTTTTAAATTAAAGTTCTGAAAAGTAAATTCCGATCTACATTTGTACATGTACACTTAATTTAGAATGTTTTACTAAAATCCTACCAGTAATGACTAACAATCGGAACAATTGTAGAGTATCTCTGGGTTTCGAGCACGACTGCAAAGCTGTACGGCATGATTTTTACATCAGCCCAAGTGCATAATGTTCTTTTCCCCAAGACTGTAATAATCTCTTCTGTCATCTTCTTAAGACAGCTTTCATGGTGTAGTAGGTTTAATATTGCAGCCAGAATTGTGTTTGATGTGGACAAAAATCCTTAAATATTAAAGTATCAGTACGAAAACTATCCCTTTTCAGACAAACTGCGTTCTTATCATATTAAATTTCGCATAAACACTAATAAAACGTCGATCTAGTTTACAATACCGGTAAACAAAAATCTTTACTTTGTCAAAAGTGTTATTGTCTTTGTTTGTTGTTTGCTTCAATTCATGATAAAGGATGATCATATGACGTAATTATTTTACTTTGTTGTGTTTCACAAGTTTGTTGGTTTCTTATTGTCTTTTTTTTTCTTTTTTTTTTTTGGTTTTGGGTTGGTAATATTTGCTGTTTGTCATTATACTCTATTATCAGGCACCATTTTCATCTGCAAATGATCTACTTCTGAATATTGAATAAAATAACCTTACGTTTCTAAAATGTTTAATAAGATGATATTATTCCTAATAACCAATAATAAAGAAATGCTTCATGGGCATGTAGATATTGTTAATTACTGACCACATTATGGAATAAAATGACACATTAAATCACGTTTTTATGAAGTTTTTTTGAGGCACCAACAGGTTTATTAGATATGTTGTATGAATAATTACTTTGCTATCTTAACATTTTTATTGCAATATACTTCAATGAGAAGAACCTGTTAATCTTTTACAGTTGACCTTTAAATGAAAAAAAATGAAAACAAAACGTGAGATTTGAAATTACTGATTACCCTCTGACGTCACATAATGCTACATAGTAAATAAGTTACATGAGGGATCATCATTAAATCAAATATTCTTTATATTTTAAAAAAAATTCGTGATATTCATGCATGATGTAATCACACATCCGTAAGATATAAGATATAAATCGTACCTCCTCCTATTGTATCAAGTATGAGTGCCCTGATCATATCATCAGTAAGCCAACATGATCCGTCCTTTTGTCTTTCTGTTTCCTGTATGTTTAAACAGGTGTCAACTAGTCCACGATTTACTCCTGGTTTGAATGTTTCCTGAAGATAAAGGATAACGATAAACGATAAACGCCACACAATTATTAACTCACATTCATTATTCCTGCGTTTATTGTGTATGTGTAAAACAATAGTAATATCTGCAAAATAATCTCACGTGTTTTGTATCTGGGCTATTATTGTAAGTTGGAAACTGTTACAACAAAACAATAACCTCCATAAACAATTTCCTTGAATTACCATTTCCCTGTGTAAACTGAATCACTTAAAAACAAATATAAGTGGAAGAAAAATGATTTCTCAAAATGATCAATGTAATCTTGTTTTTGATTGTAAGGTTTTAAACCAATATCGTTTAAGGAACATTAATTTCAAAATAATCTGTGATAACTATGTATTTTCATTTTCAAAATATGTTGTTTGTTTTACTCAAAACATCGGCTTAAAAGCAACAGGATTCCTAGTATGTTTTAAGAATGTTCAATGGGGTATTTATTGTTAGATGTTACAACTAAAGACAAACGTTTCTAAGAAATAATCCATCTGAAGGTTTTTAGTGGCAACTAACTATGCTCATGTGACCAGTGCATTCCATGATCAGCCAAAACATCCGTGTTTTCTAATCATGGTCTACTGCATTCGCTTTTCAGACAATTTCTATTTTGAAATATTCCCTGAAGTAATTATTAAACTGAATATGAGTTCTTTATTTTAAGGATATTCGAACAAAAGCTACTTAGAGATATCGAACATAATGAAAATAATACTAAAATAATTCCTGGAACATCATCTAAAATTAGAAGGTATGATTAATTTTGTTACTGCATTTATAATACAGTCAGAAATACTCTTCGAAAGAATTATTTATGTCTTCTTCCATATCGTTTTTCCAATACAAAACTAGAATATTCTTTACCTAGAATTATAATCTTATTTGATCATATTCCAAACAGAATGATTTTAGTTGTATGTTAATCTCTTTTTAAATACTTAATTTCTTTATGTAGCGTTACTTCAAAAACTTACTTGACTTTTTTGTATAAGAACAATTTCGCGTAATAGAAATAATTTATAAGAGTAATTTTTTATTATTAATTTATTTTATATGAATCCACATTATCAATCTTTTATAAGATACAACCGTTAAATGCACATTAAGACTCAGAAATGAAGACATTTTTTTTCTTCTGCAGAAATGGAAATGAATTTCATATTGTTTTAATAATGGATTTAGGGCAATACAATATTTACCATTCACAGTAATAACGCTGAATGTGAAATTACAAAATGTATGTTTCATACAGGTAACAAGCACAATATTTACAAAGAGGTGTTTTGCTCTTCATACAAAATATCTAATAACTGTTAATATGCGTACGTACACAAAACGCACAGGAAGCAACAGATGGATTAGCTGAATGGCCGATGAGATTTTGAAACTGGTAAGGACAACATAAATAGCAAATCTTAAATGAGAGGAATATGCAGTATTTCAAGGTAATACGATAAGATATTTTATAAATATACTAACACGATAATCAGTGAGAAATCTTTGAAGAAGGATATCTCTCTTGCTCTTGGCGGTGGTATACATAGTGCCTGGTTCGCCGGGAAGGTGACGAAGAAACGGCAAGTTCTTTAGCAAGCTCTCAATTCTCGGATTAAGCAATTTGTTTGACCATAACACGAAGTCAGAAATAATTTTCTGATCATTATCGGCACATTCACCTGCAATCTGAAGAAGAAACATGTAGTATTTTGACTTCAATTTAGTGCACTAACTCGTTTTAATGGAAATAAAACAAAGCAAAAGATTGTCTGGCTTTGCAGTTAATTAAGGTATTTAATTAAAACCACACAGCGGATTCAAATGGTTCAAACAATGAGTATTCATTGGTTCCCAGTACGTAAATTGATTAGATAATTCGAGAGATTTTAGAAACATACCAACATCGTCAAGGTTTTAGCAATTATTGATTCAACGCTCCTTCTAGGACAAAAGTCCTTTCCAACTTTATCTTTAAAAGCATCAATAAGTTCCCCTAACTCTGCTTTTAGTTGAGCACTAGACATTGAGGGCATAAGCCCTTTGTGCATAACGTTTTTCAGCTTGAACATTCTCTCGTTGTATGGACCAAGCAATATATCAGCATGCCCATATACCAGGTATGTACCATAAAATCCTGTGGAATAGAAAGTATTATAAACATATTATATAATTGTGTTATACAAATGTTTTATGAAATGTTTTTACAGACACATATTAGACAAAAAGATAATATTTTTGAATAATAATAATTTTATTTACCCCATAATATACATGTTACTATCTTTTATTTTATTCAAATTTCATGGATATCGCTATATGGACCAACCTAACAAAACACAAAGTATGTGCAAGAAAAATTCTATCGAATATTTAAAAAACATATACAGTTGATGCGATACGAATCTTACAAGATTAATGATAAAACGAATTATCATAGTTTAGATGCAACAAAATATATTCTGATGCATGCATAGCTAAAAATCAGGTATATTAAAATAATTTAAGAGGTCTTGATGAGTTTAATATAAAGGAGAGGAAGCACTATTTCTTATGATTCGACAGCAACATGGTTTTTTGGCTTTGTTAAGTATACGCAACTTCATCCAAGAAATTATTTGAAAGGGTTACCAAAATTAGCTAAATTTTAATATGATTTTTTGCTAGTTGCATGCTTTTTAATTACTGCCAAATGAATCGAGAAAATAAAACAGACGTTTTAAGACATAATCAGGACAGCAATGCTTGATTTATAAATTGTATTTTGATAACAACTTAACAACGTTATCCTAAAACGCTCACACACCTCTTTCCATTTAAATAACTTATGACTTTATGTTGTATTAACACCAACTTAAAAGACACACCATATTAAGATACATTATAAAATTTTATGATTATCGAATAAATATATTTTCTTTTTTTAATTCTTTTTTATTGGAAGCGGGTTTTCGTTTCAAGTTTTGTATGAATTTTATAGAACAAAGTTTTTATAACGTAATTTTAAACAGTCATGTTCTAAATTTGTACAAACACATTATGAGTAATATGTACAGTCTTCGAGATGATCAGAATATGGCTTATAATTGTTTCATAAATTTATTTTACTACTTTAATGATTTGTTTTATTACAATATATTTCATTTAATGATTATCTCAGTAATATTGTAAAATAGTTATGATTATTTCGTTAAATTGAAAATTATTTTGATATTAGAATAACTGAAATAATATTGTACATTGTCAAAAAAGATCACGTATACAATATAACTTATGTCATGAAACGACATGTTGTTAAAACTTGTGTCCAAAACCAAATTACCTTTTGCTTTGTCATTGCTTGCCCCCTCACCCCCAAGTAATAAAAAGCGTACTAAACTTGTGTCCAAAACCTAATTACCTTTTGCTTTGTCATTCAGCGATTCTTCAAATTTTGCTGTATCGAAGGCTTTTCTCATCACTTCTGATGTGTTTAATATAACAATATTCCTCCGCAATAATCGGATGTGTACAACTGGCCCAAACTTCTCGAAAATGCCATGAAGGCTCTTGTGCACTCCATTTATGTCCAAATCCTGTCCACACAAAAATGTAAGGTTAATATTTTCATAAGTCTCCAATCAGGCAAGTACACTAGTTATTGATTCTGCTTTGCAATATTTTTGGTGATTTTTCATATTTTCAGATGGTGTTTAGATCTGTCTGTATGTCATCAAGATACACTTTGACATTGTCCATTACTCATACAAATATGTCATAAGAATTCTATTTATAAAATTAATACATCAAACAAGGCGATGTGTTTTTCGTGTTCGTTTGTTTTTTCATTAATAATAAAATGTCCACTTAATATACGTTTGCGCGTAGCAATATGTCACTTGCAATAATGACATAATTATCAAAAATCTTAAGTATAGTTTCCGCCAAATATTATGTCATAATGTCATCTTATCATCATGATCGACATTATTTTGTTTTGTGAGTCGTTCATACTTATCATTGACAAAGGCTGACATAATAATAAAAAGACATATTATAAATTATTATTGGTCACGTGATAACATGGCGGACATACATTTTTTGATAATCATACTAAGAGTAAAAATAAATTGATACACGGAGTTTTACCAAATATTGTGATGGATTTTGACTTTGATATCTTAACATGTGATTAAGTACATTCATTCGGAGTATTCTTCTTTTAATATTGACTTTGTGGAGTATAAAAACTAAATTTTCAAGTGATGATTGTTGGCGGTTTTTTTTGAATATCTTCTTCGATGGGCAGAAAAAAACGTACATTATCACAAGCGTCTCCAAATTATTCGATCGAACAATCTGGTAAACGCCTAACTATGTCAGAACAGAGTCCAGTATCACCATCAGCAAGTTTCGTATCACCAGTAGCACAAGTACCGGGGTATTCAGGTCAGTTTTTACCCCCACATACCCAGTTTATGACCCCACCTCATTATGCCTCGCAGATGCCACAATCCAATATGCCTATTAATGTTATTTTAGAAAAACTTGAGGCTTTGGATAAAAGATTGAACAAATTAGACACTATCGAAAGTCAGATTAACAATTTAACACAGAAAATGGGGTTGATGGATCAACGTGTTTCGACAATTGAAAGTAAAATTCAGACACATAACAGTAAATTGATAGAGATTGAAGCTAGTAGAAATTTTGACGCTCAGACATGTGATGAAATCTTAGCAAAACAACATGATTTAGATAAACAGTTAAAAGCGGGAGTTGAGTCTAACAATAAACTGATGACGTCATATGAATCCTTAAAGCAGGAGAACCGCAGATTAAATGAGGAAGTTATAGATTTGCAGACTAGGTCTATGCGTGATAACCTGCTATTGTTTAATTTCGATGAATGCACCAACGCTGAGGCCCGTAGAGAGGAAAACTGCTGTGATACCATCTACACTTTCTGTGAGAAGGATTTGGGAATTGTGGACGCTAGATCTAGAATTAAAATTGACAGGGCACACCGACTGGGAAAATTTATGTCTAATAAAAAAAGACCTATTGTAGTCAAATTCAACCACTCCCCGGACAAATCGGAAATTAAGCAAAAGATTTATGATAAAAAAGAAATGATCAATATCAAATGCAGTGATCAATACCCTAAAGAAGTTCAGGATCGCAGAAAAAAATTAATTCCGCTTCTATTAAAAGCTAGAGAGGAACACAAAGAGGCTGTTTTACGGTTTGATAAACTGTACATAAACGGGGCTTTGTACCGAGGAGCGACGGAGGATGATCGATATTAGGACAGCAAGGAGCAGTTGAAATTTCTCCTATGGAATACACAAGGGCTTGTAAATAAACTTGATGACACTGATTTTTTGAATTATATCAACGAGTTTGATTTTTTGCTTTTTACCGAAACATGGAATTCAAAGATTTCGAATATTGATATTGACGGTTTTTGTTCATTTTCATGTTACAGGCCAAAGTTTAATAAGAAAGCTAAACGTTATAGCGGAGGTGTTATTATCTATTATAAATCAATATATTACAAGAAAATTGAACTAGTAAGTATTAACCATAATGGTATTGTTTGGATTAAGTTACTTAAACAATATTTTGGAACTCTTAATGATATTTACATGTGTACGTGTTATATTCCTCCTAGTGATTCGAACGTTTACAGCAACGTAGCATCTAGTTTATATAACTTTGACTTTTTTGATCAGCTGAATAATGACATACGTAAATATAAAATTTTGGGTGACATATACGTTACAGGTGATTTAAATGCGAGGACAGGTCAACGACCTGATTTTGTAGAAAATATAAACTTAGACCGTTATGTTTATATGCCTGAGGACTCAGATCCGTGTAATTTACCTGCACGAGTTTCGCATGATAGTCATGTAAATAGTTTTGGTTTAAAATTACTATCGTTATGTAAAGAAAATAGCATTTATATTGTAAATGGTCGTCTCGAAAATGGTTTATTTACATGTTACAGTGTTAATCGTGGCCGTAGGGCTGCTAGCGTTGTTGATTATTTGTTAACCACTAGTAATAATTTTTCATTGATTTCTAACTTGAAAGTTAATGATTTAACTGAATTTTCTGATCATTGTCCGATTGAATTTAGTTTACATTGTGATAATATGTTTTTTTATCAGTATGATGTGTTAACTTATGATAAAATTTTATGGGAAGATAATGATAATAATTTATTGTATAATACCCTTGAGGAAAATAAACACTTATTTGAAAATATTATGCATAAACTTGAGGCTGAGGAAAGAGATGTAAATTCGACTATTGATGATCTATCTAAAGTTATTTTTGATATATCTTTCAAGCTAAATGGTAAAACATTTAGCATTAAACCAAAAAATAATGTCAAAAAGAAGTCTCTCTGGTTTGATTCTAACTGTAAACATGCTAAAAATTATTTTTACTGTGACAAAAGAGCTTTTAAAGCTGTCCCGTCTGATGAAAATAGAGACAGATTTTTACATAGTAGAAAACATTATAGTTATACTAAGAGGAAGACAAGAAGAGATTTTTATTATACTGAAAAAAATGAATTATCAAATTTAAGTTAAACGCAACCCGTGTCAATTTTGGAAATATATTAATAAATTTAAAAATAAAAGTAAGCCAGATTCTTCTGATATAAGCATTCATGAATTTTCCGAATATTTTAAGAGTTTATCTAATTTGAATCAAAGTAATGATGTGTTTCATGATGAGATCAACTCTTCGTAATGAAAATGTCATTATAGATGAACTTGACTGTCCTTTTACTGTTGATGAGGTTTCTAGAGTAATTAGTAGTCTGAATAGGCATAAAAGCTGTGATTATGATAAAAATGTTGCTGATTTTTTTTATTGATTCTAATCACTTTATTTCACCATATTTAGTAGTTATTTTTAATAAAATCTTCGATTCAGGTATATATCCTGATGCTTGGAGTAAAGGCGTGATAATTCCTATTTTTAAAAAGGGAGATGAAGCTAATCCTAGTAATTATAGGGGAATCACTTTAACAAATGTTGTGGCAAAAATATTTTCTATCATTCTACGAAATAGAATTAACAAATGGTGTGAATCTAATGATGTTTTTAACGATTCACAATTTGGCTTCAGATATAAACATAGTACAAGTGATTGTATATTTTTATTACATACATTGATTCAAAATATTTTATTTAACAAATCTAAATTATTTTGTGTTTTTATAGATTATGAAAAGGCGTTCGATACTGTTGTTCGTGAAGCTTTGTGGATTAAATTATGTCAATCTAATATTAGCTGTAAAATCATTACAATGTTGAAATCTATTTATGCAAATGTTAAAGCATGCGTTAAATTGTCTTCGAACGTAAATATGTCAGATTTTTTTGATGTCAGTATTGGTTTAAAACAAGGGGAACCACTCTCGCCTTTACTATTTATTTTGTTCCTCAATGATATTAATACTTGTTTAGATTTAAATAATCTATCGGAGGGTGATTTGAACCAGTTATCAATGTATATGTTAATTTTTGCTGATGACATTGTTTTATTTACGACGAATGCAGCCAGCTTGCAAGCCCAACTTGATTGCATTTATCAATACTCGATTAAATGGGGCCTTAAGATAAACACCAAAAAGTCCAAAGTTTGTATTTTTGAAAAAAGAAAACAATCTAATTCTTTTGAATGGTTTATAAATGGTGAAAAATTAGAAACTGTAGATAATTTTTGTTATTTAGGTGTAAATTTTATTTACACTGGGAATATGAAAAATGCTGTTAAGGTGCTCTCTGACCAAGCTCTCAAAGCATATAATTGCCTCTTGTCATTATTTACTAGAATAAATCTTGATATCAAAACGAAACTTTCACTTTTTGACTCTATGGTTCTACCTATTTTATTGTACGCCTCGGAGATTTGGGGCATTTATGAATTTAAGGAAATAGATAAACTTCACATAAAATTTTGTAAACATATTCTTGGGGTTCGAACACAATCTTCAAATTTAGCAGTTTTAGGTGAATTGGGTCGTTTCCCTTTATCAGTTTTAATGAAAGAGAGGGCATTGAAATACTGGATAAAAATAATGAGTAATCAACACATGCCTATGTATACACTTTTTAGAGAGCAATGTAATTCCCAGAACGCAAATTCTTGGTCAAATAAAATTAAAAATTTACTTGATAGTCTAGGTTTCAGCGATATATGGTCAAATTTTGACTCTTCCTGTAACTATTTTTGTATTTTGAAACAAAGACTACGCGATCAATATATCCAAAACTGGCAAATGGAGATTCGTAATGTAGCTAAACTTGAATACTATAAACAATTTAAAGTCGATTTTTGTTATGAAAAATATCTAGATATTTTGACTAATAGTAAACATAGAGAGCTATATACTAAATTTAGAATATCAGCACATAATCTCGAAATTGAAGTAGGTAGATATACTGGCATTGAAAGACAAAATCGTATATGTAAACTTTGTCAATCACAATCTGTTGAATCTGAGTACCATTTTTTGTTATGTTGTAATAAATATTATGACCTACGACAGAAATATTTTACAAATAATGCTTGGCCTTCAGTACAAAAATTCATTAATATTATGTCATCAAAACGTAGAACTAGTATTGTAAAAAATGCAAAGTTTTTAACAGAAGCTTATAAATTGAGAAGTCTAACCCTTGAAAATAATGCTGCTTCGTAGGACTTATTACCTTTGTGAGTTAAAAATTGTGTTAATGTTTGATTTTTGGTGATTATTTATTATGTAAAGATTAAAAGTGTATTTATTTGTGTATCTTTTATGTATACTGTATGTCTTGACCATGTGTATTAGTATGTGTAAATGGTCAAAGGCAATTATTATGCCGATTTGCCAATAAATGAAATGAATATAAAATGTAAAGTAAGCAGATCAACAAAATGAAATTTAGAACAGTCGTCCTCTCAAATGAATTAATTCTTTGAAAAACATAAAGTTTTCGAAATGACTTTAATAGCGCCGAAACATTTGGTGATTATATACCGTAATGAAAAAAATAGTTAAACAGTTTTCAAAAAAAATAGAAGAATAAAATTTATCTTAAACCCATGTTTAAAACAATGTTAAATCATAGATTTAAAGCATGTTGCAAGTTAATTACTGGTATAAAATAGCCCTGAATATAAAAAAGCGTGTATATGACTATACTAATTGCCGAAGAACAGAAAATGCAAAAGTAGGTTTAGCTATGTGCTTTCTTGCCTATGTGTTCCTTCTAGTAAACCGTAATGGGACATCAAAAACAGAAAGCTTTAAAGAAATAACAATTATACCTTTTAGGTTTAATGGGTTTTTACAGAAGCATAATACGTCTATTGGACCAGCTTTGCTGATAATAAACGTGTTTTACAGAAATATAATGCATGTCAAAAATCATAAGTAATGAATTAAAGCCAAAAAAAAAGCTTTACCTTAAAATTTCCAAAAAGCGACGTTGCCGTCGGTCCTGGTGGCAAGTTTGGTGGGAGATTGCTTGAATATTTGTTCCACAAAAAAGCTAAAAACGCTATAGCAACTCCCGTCAAGGCCAGTTCTGAGAACATTATGGCTTGTTCTCAGTTAATTCTTGTAGATTGTATATGCATCAGATATTAGTCTCTTATGTATCACAGATTTTTTCCATACGTAATATGGTGTCAGTCTTTTTTTACAGTAAGTTTAAACTCCAATCACTTCTTTCTGGAATTAAAAGTATGAAATTAATTTAAAATCAGTACGTATTCCAATTTAAGATAAATAGAAAAAAAGACAGTACTGGTTAAGATTTTACAAATATCGTTAAAAACATTCACCGAGAATGTATTGAAATTTTCTACAAGCAAAGTCCATTCCTACACATTGTATTCGCCCACAGGTACTTAATAAAATGTTTCTGTGCAAAACAATTATATGATACGTCTCAAATATCCGTAGCAATCAATTGTATGTCTTTGTGGTCATTAACGATTCTTAGGTCCATTTAAAATGATAACGATTGCAACATTATCACGGAAAAAGAAATCAAAACTATTAAACGGCAATAATTCTGCGCATTGAAGTTTGAAATTTAAGATTTTTATTTTATAATAAATGTCATTTCTTCCAGAAAAACAATGAGAAAGCGTTACATATTAATTTTATGAAATACCTTGTTTCTTCCTAGTATATGTTTTATTTCAAACAATCGTTTACTATATGTTTAGAAAAAAACACTTTGTGTTATGTTAAATTCCCAGTAATTTTTGTTTTATTTCTCTAAATCTAGCGAAGTAATAAGTTTAACATCCGTCTGTTTGATTGCCAAAGGCTTCCCCTGATAGTTTTGCTTATATTTCTCTATAACAAATGGCACATGTGCCGTATCATTTGAGTAGAACAACGTACACTTATCAAGTCTTGTGGTAATTGTATTATTCTATTTAACGATGGCCTGAACTTTTTATCTAACAACAGACTAAGTCTACTTCAGTTTAGCTCTTCGGTGATTTTAGACATAAATAATATTACACTAGGACACATTTTTTCTCCCTTTATCGCTTTAACTTCACTTAAGTAGAAGTATAAATAATTTATATTTTTCCCAGGGTATCTTCTTATGGCTTTTCGCACTTCAGTTTTTGAAGCTGAGTAGTATGCATATTTTACAAGTTCTCGTAGATTTTAGACCAATGTGTAGAAAAAGTCTTAGTTTTAACTATAAGTAGAGATGTAACATACATATATGCTTACTCTATTTAACCCTACGATAATATATTCCATAACAAATACCCTTTTAAGCAACGTCTATATGAGCACTTTGCTATGTTTATTGCTCATTCATTCATATGTAAATACGTGTCAAACAAACTATAGAAATTCACACTCTTGAGGAACGTAAGTGATCTATCACATACAGGAAATAGTTCAAGAGTTGTATCATCTTCATAATAATGTAATGACATACGAAGCTATTTTGTTTTGTATAGTTTAATATCCTGTTTTGACTGATGAACACTCGATGGGCAATTGTCCTGAAACATTTAATATCATTCATAATTTTAACATAATTTTTGTTACATAATATGCAATCCATTGGAAAATACTTACGCAAATTGAAAAAAAAACATTAAAAATTGTAGTGTTAGACATCCGCATATAAATACTTGAAATACCATGATTGAATTATCAACTGACTTTATATATAGCCCCGCCTTACGATGAACAAGAGTTACTGTTTTAAGGCAAACCTGGTTCAACTATTAATTTATACGCTGATTATCATAATTCTAGGATTGCATTACTTCGCAAGAAACAGAACTGTTGCATTAGGACCGTTTGTTTTTGGGATTTTTCCCCCTGATTTTCCCTCCTGATTTTTCTTCCTGATTTATATTCAATAATAACTACTTATCGAAGACGCTGTATGAATATTCGCAAGATATACCGCTTAAAACGTAAAATACACGAACAAATACGTGCATTATACAATGTTTACAAGTATGCATAAAACATAGAAAAAAACATTGAATTGCAAATGACACCTTTGTATGAATATATAGAATTGCAAATGACACCTTTGTAAAAATTAAATAACAAACTTAAGATATCTGCGGGTTAATATTTTTCTTGTGTAGACTTTCTTACATCATTTTGCTGTTACTGGTATAAATCATGGACACTATACGTAAATGATCATTATGTGTTCTGCAAGACTCTAATAAAGAACGTATAATTTGACAATTACATGTATCGAGTAGATGTAAATACAAATGTAAAATGTGTATGAGAAAAAATGATAAAAATAATAATACAAATTGATCACTTTCAATTAAAAAGTAGATTGCTCTTTAGTTCAAATACTAGTACATTTGTACTGTAAATTCGTTTTTGCGATCAAAATCTAGGACTAAATCGTAGCTAAACACGTGACGTACATGAATATTAGAAAGAATCATCCTTCACTGACATTTAAGGTTTGTCATGATTATATATGATAAATTTTTTTCTTTTCTATTTTTGTGGTAATTAGTCGTTTGTGATATATCTTGATCGGCGTAACGACCGAATTCCTTATAAGCTTACACGCATTAAGTTATGAATCTCAATTAGTGTAGACAAATTGTTACAAATTGATGGCAGAACTATTTTTAATTGGATAATATTTGTCAAAAGATATTTTACTGCTTTTAAATAATTATAAAAGATAATCATTAAACAGATGTGATTTAAAAATAGAGAATAAAAGTCTAGAAAAATGAATCTCTTAGTTATATCATCTCTTAGCAAATAAAAAGTCTCAAATCAATAATTGATCAACAAAATCTAATAACAAATGTATTGCAAATCATTTCAAGGTGAAAAATTAACAGAAAAAAATAAGTATTTACACAGAGTAATAGTAATAATTATGAATAGTAAATAATAATGGTTTATTTATCAGAATTCTGTGAAGAATTTTCGTTGTCCAAAAAAGAAGAAAAAAGAAAACAAGAAAAAAAAGTAAAAACGAAATATCGCAAAGGAAATAAATTCTAAACATAATTATCTCATTATCTGACTTATAACATGTTGTTTTATATAAAGATAAGGTTAAAAAATATCAGACAACAAAATTGCCCCAGCAAGATCTGGCTAAATTTATCAGGTTTAAAAGGTCGCGAACAACAACTGTTGTAACAACCTTCATTTAAATCAAATAATCTTTAAACACTACAAAGTTCATTTTTACAACTTCTTGCCACTGAACCACTTAAGCATTGAAGATTTAAACATTCATGAAAAAAACCTGAGAAGTATCAAACTGTGCTAACCATAGGTAAGAATATTGCTGTGAATTTGATGTAGATAAAATCTTTTATCAAACGAGAATGAGTTATCAAATTCTATTATACGGCTCGATAAGTGGTAATGAATAATGTTGATCAACTGTTTAGACTAAAATCATCTTACATAATAAATTGTACAGTTATAAAACGTTAATTATTTTTAATAAGATAATTTCTTCTCTTAAAGATCTATAACTATAATATTGAACAGAATATTTAATAGTAAGAACTTTGTGATTAATTTAAACAACTGTTAAGTTGGCAACATTGATCTATAAACCGTTCTATGCCATGAATCAAAATAATGTGTCAGAATTAATTGTATATACTATACAATATAATGTATATTAGAAATATTTTAAATTTGCTAGAATCAATTGAAGTAAGTGGTACATACTGAAACTTGAAAAGTTAAACCATCCACTTTCAAACTTGAAAACAAACTTTTTGAAATAAATCAACATGTATGGTCAAAATCGCTACATTAACAAATAAAGGAAGCCTGTACTTTACTGTCGGTTAATATTTGTTTAATGTTTATTACGGAAATTGATAATTGGAAAAGTCATTGTTGACCACTTTAAGCACAAAGTGTACTATTAGATATAAATATTAAACATTCAGCACGTCAACAAGACCACATGGAACATTTATGTCGCTTCTTATATGAGACCATAATTTCATGATCTTTATAATGTTTGGCACTAGATCACCGATTGCGTTATTTTCTTGTAATTTTAACTTTATAAATTCCAGCTGATTCGTTTTTGTTTTTTCTATACTTACCAATTAGACTAATTGTTTATCACGCTGTACATTTCTTTTTACAAAACCTTATTTCTAAATTTAATAAATTCCTTCATATGTAATAGCTATTACCTCTGTTATGGCAGCTGAAATTTCTTTGAACGTCACTGACCTATAGACGGCCTTTATATTTATTCTCTTAAACATGGGTACGAGCTCTAATTTGTAAATTTTATTAACCGGACCAACGCCAGGGAATCTACCTTTTATATCTATACAGTAGGTGTGCGTCAGATAAATGACAATAAGCATATGTTGTGATGCAAAAGATAAATACTAAAACCACTTTATGATAAATATCTTTTTTTTAGATATGGGTATAAAATGAGGCTGCTATGGTAATTTTTGAAGTGAATTTGATATAATAAATCTTCTGTTACATTTATATAGGCGTGAATTAATTAAATTTTGTAAAAAGCAGCATCATAACACACTGGTGTTAAATTTTTATGAAATATTTGTTAATTTATTCAAAGTTATGAATTTATCGTAAGGACAAGAAATAGAAAAATACGTACACGATATTTCTTGAATTATTAGTATATTTGAAATAGTGTTAAGGAATATGTCAATTAAAAATGCTATGTTGTTATTCTTTATAAAAATGTAAGAGATTAAAATAACGCTTTCTTATCACTTTATATGAACCAGACATATTTCTAAGACACAGTTGTTATAAAACCTGAAATTTGAAAAATTCACGCCCATATATAAGATAAACCGCGTTAATTACTTGAAAATGAATATGTAAGATAAATATGTTATATAAAATATATTATGTAAACCTTATGTCGTCTAAATGCAAGTTATCATGCATGTATTTACTTTAATCTAACATTGCTCAAGCAAACCATTTTATGCTGTACAAAGCATTAATTCTTTAGTGAACATCAATCTGGTGTACATTGAAACAATTGTTCTGTGTGATTTGTAAATATCATATAATATGCAACAAGAAACGCTAGAGCATATTTGAG